AGCGCAGCGCGATAACCGCTCAGCTACCACTCCCACAACACACATTTACGCGAAAGAAAAACACTCTCGATTTAAAGCTTTCGTGACTGCAGGGATTCCTATTCTTGGTTCTTTCGGTAAAGTCACGTCGAAGGGAAATAATAAAATAAGAAAAATAAACAATAAAATCTCACGACGTTTTGGCCATAACGCAAGCTCTGTTTCTTCAACTGAGGACGGCTGCTTGCGTTGTGGCCGAAACGTCGTGAGAATTTGATTTTATTATGTTTTATTATTTTATTATTTCCCTTCTACGTGACTTTACCGAAATAACCAAGAATATAGAAACACTCTCGTACGTGAAAAGGAGGACGATCTCCCGTATGGTCTTCACAGAATGTTGGGGGACAGGTGCGGTTCAGGGAGCACCTGTGAAGGCCCGCACCGCACCAGGTACTCATTTGAGGCCGAGTCTATCTAGGAGCGGCCCAGGACCGGTTCAGATAATCGTCACTGGTGTTGGCCGTTCAGCGGTAATCGAACTCGAGTTGCCCGCCGGGTTCGTAGCGTCAACCACTAAAACTCACCCCCCCCCCACTCACACACAGCACGGTTGGCTACGTACGGTGCGAAAGAAGTTCAACATGCATACACACATTTAGATATTTATATAGAAACACTCTCGCGCGTGCCGACACACGTGGACACACATGTTAGCATGCACAGTGTAGAGGGGGGGGGGGGGGCTGGAGATGGGGGGGGGGGGTGATGGAGTTGAGGGGGGTGATGGATTGGGGGGGGGTGATGGAGATGAGGGGGGGGGTGATAGCGAAGGGGTCGCAATGGACTCAGGAGGTCACGGAGACTCTGGGAGCCACGAGCGATGAGACGCATCCCAACCCGCTCGCGGCCGTTGCCTATTAGCACGATCAGCCACTCGCACTCTGATTGATCACAATCATCATGAGCGTGACCATGTGGTTGTTGTTGTTGTTTGACTTGCATCCCACTGGGATATTTGCACAGGGTTGGTGTACGGTGATTATTTCTGCAATATTTTGCTGTTTTTTTCTTGGATTTTCTGTTTGCACATAGTCACTATAAGATGTTTTCTTGTTCATGTTTTTGTTTTTTGTTTGTTGCGGTTGCACCCGATTCAAGGCGGTCGGGCGTGGTGCTGGCCACCCCATCCCCTCGTGTGTCGTTCTGGCCTTCATAGAGTGCTCGCTAACAGCACTTTGCCCCTACAGTCTCTTAAGGCTACACGGGGGATCTTTGTCTGTGTGCGCGCGCATGCGAATGCGCTTACGCACGGCGTCGTTTCAGTCTGCTGAGCAATGATCGCGTCGCGGTGACGTTATTCATGTGACAACGACGGAACGAAAAGCAACGGAGGTCGCGTTCAGAGAGAAGGGCGCACAATGGCGAGTGCAGAGAGAGAGACACACGGGAGCGTGGATTAAGGAGTTAAACCAGCAGCGAGACAGGAGGCTTAGCGGAATATCCTGTCATTACCTCTCACGGGCACACGGGGTGAACGTGTGTGTGTGCGCACACCCCTGTGTGTGTGTGTGTGGATGGTGGAGCGGTGGTGGAGCGGTTAGCTGCGCTGTGCTGCGAACCCAGGGACACCAGTTCGAGTCCCGCTCACGGCCAACGCCGGTGATGATTATTTGAACCGGTTTTGGGCCTCCCCTACGTCGACTCAGCCTCAAATGAGTAGATGCTACGGTGTGTAAATATCGCCACTAGGGAGACAAAGGCGGCCGGGCGTGGTGTTGGTCACCCACCACCTCGTGTGCCGTGCCGGCCTTCATAGGTGCTCGCGAACAGAACTTGCTCCAACCTTCCTTAAAGCTATATGGGACATCTTTGTCCTTGACTTTGTACATACATTTAATATATTGTGTATTCATGCATGTGTGTTTATTTATGTATGCATTCATGTACGGTAATTTGGTTTGTGTGTGTGTGTGTTTTATTATTATGATTATTAATGCGTTTGAGTTCATGTACAAGTTGCCGGTAATAGCCTCTGCCCGTGTTATATCCTTTAATAGTAACAACAATAGCAATTAGACGATAACGAAGAACGCACTATCGTGCAAAAACAATCTCCAGCACGCCACGTCGCTGAAGACTTTAGATCCGTAATCACCAAATTTTCAGAGGGGTGGGAGGGGGGGGCAATTTGGCCAATAAGACATCACAAACCATCGTTGGGCTTGACAGCAGCAACACGGTGACGATGGTGGTGGTGGTGATGATGGTTGTAATGGTGATGATAGTGGTTGTGGTGGTTGCAATGTAGTGTGAAGGCCGCCACACATTTTGAAACCATCGTTGGGTTTAACAGCAGCACGATGATTATGGTGATAATGGTGATGATAGTGATGATGATGGTGGTGATGGTGACGATGATGGTGATGATCATAGTGATGATAATGGTGATGATGGTGATGATGATGGTGATGATGATGGTGATGATGGTGATGATGATGGTGATGATAATGGTGATGATGATGGTGATGATGATGGTGATGATGGTGGTGATGATGGTGATGATGATGGTGATGATAATGGTGATGATGATGATGGTGATGATGGTGATGATGATGGTGGTGATGATGGTGATGATGATGGTGGTGATGATGATGGTGGTGATGATGATGGTGATAATGGTGATGATGATGGTGATGATGAAGGTGATGATGATGGTGATGATGATGGTGATGATGGTGATGATGGTTATGATGATGGTGATGATGATGATGGTGATGATGATGGTGATGATGATGGTGATGATGGTGATAATGATGGTGATGATGATGGTGATGATGGTGGTGGTGATGATGATGGTGATGATGGTGATGATGGTGATGATGATGGTGATGATGATGGTGATGATGGTGGTGATGATGGTGATGATGGTGATGATGATGGTGATGATGATGATGGTGATGATGATGGTGATGATGATGGGGGCTGTTGTCACCATTTGTGTTTTGTAACCCGCGGGGCCTTGCGACGAAGGACGCCGCTTTAGAGTCACATTTGTTAAAAACTAAAAAAACTAAAAAAAATCTTATCTGGGTCCTGTTCCCATCAACACCTCCAGAGACAAACTTTAGTCCGTCTAGGTCAGCCGTCGGCTCTCTCAGGAACCGCAGCTTCGTGACACGGTGGTTTATTCAGGACCCACCGCCGTCTCGTACTCACCACCATCTCGTACTCACCACCATCTCCTACTCACCACCGTCCCGTACTCACCACCGAGGTGGCAATGCGGCTCTTGAAGTATTGAGGGTTTATTTAGTTTACCGATATCTAGAAATATATATGTATATCTTCTTCTTGTTTCAATTGCCGACCCCTGGTCTAGCAACCAAAATGCAAAGTCAAACGTTTGGTTCCAACATAACATATGGGCACAGATATAGGTGAAGGTTAAAGGTTAAAAAAAAATGTTCTTGAGTTAGTTTAAAATGTGATGCTGCATTCTGATTCAGCCACCTTCGAAAGTTTCCCGAGACAAAACCTTTATAAGCCCAATTTAAACACTCAAAACCATTAACAACGTGCTCCTGAATATGTTCTTGGACCCGAGACTAAACATTCGTTAATTTGTTGTCTTGTTTATATTTCTTTAATCCGTGTTCATTCCAGCACTGAGAACCCCTTAAAAGCTCCGTCCCGTAGCCCTCGGTTCAGAAACGTCTAACAAAAAAAAGACAACAATTTATGACCTCCCCACCAAAGTGTGTGGGCAGTCTACATTTTTTGTTGTTACGTTAAATATTTTGGAGACGATGTGTCTGATGAACTGTAGAGACTCGGCTATATCTGTGCCCATATTCAGCTTTCGTATCAAAATGAAAACACATTCAAATGCTCACACCCCCCCCCCACCACCAATGTTGGCATAAACACAAACACACAGTTTGTACTCTTTGGTTCTGTCGGTAAAGTCACGTCGGTGAAAATAATTAAATAAAAATTAAAAAAGCAACTAAATTAGATCACGACGTTTCGGGCGCAACACAAGCGTCCTTCATCAGGTGGTGACCACCACAGCGAAAATAATCGCTGAAGTATGCCAAAGAGATGTCTGTGACAAGGGGTTATATAGCTGTGGGGCCGGGGGGGGAGCCACAATTTTTCCTGTACCGCCTTCCATCAGAATGGTGGAATCCGATTAGCTATCAAGCTCTTTTTCATAGATGTCCCGTCGGGACCACGGGGTCAAAACGTTACAAAACACCATTGGAACCTCATTTGCCAGTAGGTCATCCTCGCTTTCCGGTTCCTTCCATTTTTCCGAACAACACTTTCAATGTCACCTCTTGTTGGCCATCCTCCATGCGTCCAAAGAGTGGCAGTTTCCTTCCCTGCTTACACAAAATACATTCACTGCGGGATTGATGATGAAGATGCTCGTGGTGATGATGATGCTGATGACAAGATAAATAATGACCGATTCACAGATTATAACGCTGCTTGATGAAGATGATGCTGGTGACAAGATAAATAATTACCGATTGACAGATTATGATGTTGCTGCTGATGATGATGCTGGTGGTGATGATGATGATGCTGCTGATGATGATAACAAAATTAATGACTGATAGATGATGCTAGTGATGATGATGATGCTGGTGGTGATGATGATGATGATACCAACATGAATGATAGATTATGATGCTGGTGGTGGTGATGATGATGCTGATGATGATAACAACATGAATGACTGATAGATTATGATGCTCGTGGTGATGATGATGCTGATGACAAGATAAATAATGACTGATTGACAGATTATAATGCTGCTGATGGTGATGATGATGCTGCTGATGATAACAACATGCATGACTGATAGATTATAATGCTGCTGCTGCTGATGCTGATGGTGATGATGATGCTGATGATAACAACGTTAATAATGACTGATCGATTGACTATGTTGCAGCTGATGGTGATGATGATGCTGACGATGCTGAATGCGTTGCGTGCTCCACTCACAGGCACGTGCGTCGGGGGAGCGCGCGGGGTCGTGGTGACCGTGAACCCGGCGGAGGTGACGGTGGCGAGGGGTCAGGCCGCCGAGTTGCCGTGCTCCGTCAGCTCCAACGCGCCCACGCTCAACAATCTCGTCGTGCTGTGGATCGCCAACACGGAGCGCGGCGCAGGGGTGCGTGTGGGTGTGTGCACGTGTGGGTGTGTGTGTGGGTGTGTGTGTGGGTGTGTGTGTGGGTGTGTGTGTGGGTGGGTGGGTGTGTGCACGTGTGTGTGTGGGTGTGTGTGTGGGTGTGTGTGTGGGTGTGTGGGTGTGTGTGTGGGTGTGTGTGTGGGTGGGTGGGTGTGGGTGTGTGGGTGTGTGTGTGGGTGTGTGGGTGTGTGTGTGGGTGTGTGGGTGTGTGGGTGGGTGGGGAGCGGTAGTGTAGCGGTTCGCGCGCTGCACTGCGAACCTGGCGACCCGGGTTCGATTCCCGCTCACGGAAAGCACCAGTGACGATTATCTCAACCGGTCCTGGGCCTCCCCTAGGTCGACTCAGCCTCAAATGAGTACCTAGTGCGATGTGTAAACATCGCCGCTAGGGAGACAAAGGCGGTCGGGCGTGGTGCTGGCCACCCACCCCCTCGTGTACCGTTCCGGCCTTCATAGGTGCTCGCTAACAGCACTTGCCCCTACAGTCTGTTAAGGCTATACGGGGGATCTTTGTTGTTGTGGGTGGGTGTGTGGGTGTGTGTGCACGTGTGGGTGGGTGTGTGCGTGTGTGTGTGTGTGGGTGTGTGTGGGTGTGTGTGCACGTGTGTGTGGGTGGGTGTGTGGGTGTGTGCGTGTGTGTGTGCGTGTGGATTCGTGTGGATGTGTGTGGGTGTGTGGGCGTGTGTGTGGGTGTGCGTGTGGGTGTGTGTGCACGTGTGGGTGTGTGTGTGGGTGTGTGTAGGTGTGCGTGTGGGTGTGTGTGCACGTGTGGGTGTGTGCGCGTGTGCACGTGTGGGTGTGTGTGTGGGTGTGTGCGCGTGTGGGTGTGTGCGTGCGTGCACGTGTGTGCGCGTGTGGGTGTGTGCGCGTGTGGGTGTGTGCGCGTGTGTGGGTGTGGGAGGAGGATGCTGTAGGAGGAGGAGGCTGTAGAAGGCTGTAGGAGGCTGTATCACGCCTCTGTGGCTACGTGGCCTGACGTCTACTCAGAGAACATCAAACATCGAGTACATTAACCATTTGTTCGTCCACCCACCCCACCTACCAACACCCCCTCCCTCCTCTCCCCCACACAGGAGCAGGTGCTGGGCTTCATGGCTGGCCAGGTGGTGAACGGCTCTGCGAGCTTCGCGGGTCGCGCCGACTTCACGTCGCCCATGCCGGGATCGGCGGTGTCGGTGCGCGTGGAGCGAGCGCGCGAGAGCGACGCGGGCACCTACACGTGCTCCGTCAACCTGATCGCTGACCCCCCCGGGGGGGTCGGCGTCGTCACTCTCACCGTGCTGGGTGCGGGGCGGCGCGCGGCACACAAACTGACCACTTCTCTCCCGAGCCACCTCTCCCCACCCATCTCTTCCGACCCACCTCTCCTCCCCACCTCTCCCACCCACCTCTCCCCCCCCACCTCTCCCACCCACCTCTCCCCACCCATCTCTTCCGACCCACCTCTCCCCACCCACCTCTCCCCCCCACATCTCTCCCCACCCACTTCTCCCCCACCCATCTCTTCCGACCCACCTCTCCCCCCCACCTCTCCCACCCACCTGTCCCCCCCCACCTCTCCCACTCACCTCTCCTCACCCATCTCTCTCCCCACCCACCTCTCCCACCCCACCTCTCCCCCCCACCTCTCCCCACCCACCTCTCCCACCGACATCTCTCCCCACCCACCTCTTCCCTCCCACCTCTCCTCACCACCTCTCCCCCGCCACCTCTCCCCCCCACCTACCCTCCCACTTCTCCCCACCCACCTCTCCCCCCCCACCTCTCCCCCCATCTCTCCCCACCCAACCTCCCCCCACCCACCTCTCCCCACCCACCTCTCCTCCCCACCTCTCTCCCCCCCACACCTATCCCCCCACCTCTCCCCACCCACCACCACCTCTCCCCCCAACCCCCTGACGATTCTGACTGCCGCCTGATGAGGCTGGTTCTTTGAAATGCCGTCGAAACGTCACGGAACTCAAATTGTGAACGTTGTGAGTTCACTCTCCAGCACACGAGCCGCGTGCTGCACCGGTGACTAGTCGGACCGGTGACTAGTCGGACCGGTGACGAGTCGGCACGTTGTATTCACCGGCCCAGACCTCACTGGTTGCCTGCGTCGGGCTGGCAGCGGGTTTAACGACGCAGTTTTATATTTACGCGATCCGACCCCCCCCCCCCCCCAAAAAAAAAAACTTCATCACGGATCCCTGTAACGAGCTGGCCCCCCTAAAGCCTCCCTCCGCTAGAGGTCGCAACCGGGTACCCGATACCCGTACCCTACCCGATACCCGCCTACCCGTACCCGACTGGGTACGGGTACGGGTAGCCGTTTGCGACCCTGGTGCGGCCGGGTACGGGTACGGGTAGGCCGAGAGTCACTGGTGAGTCACCGTTTGTCACTCATTTCGGGTAGGGTACGGGTACGGGTAGGGAACGGGTACCCATACCCGGCCGGGTACGGGTACCCGGCCGGGTACGGGTACCCATTTACGACCCTGGTGCGGCCGGGTACGGGTGCGGGTAAGGAATCAAAACCCGTTTGCGACCTCTGCCCTCCGCTCTCTCCTGCCGCCCCACACAGTTCCTCCCGCGACGCCCAGGTGCACCATGGAGGGCGACCCCACGGTGGGCACCAACATCACGCTCACCTGCAGCTCGTCCGAGGGCAACCCCGCTCCCTCCTACCTGTGGACCCGCCTCGAGGCAGCCAGGAAGCTGCCGGCCAACGCCGCGCTGGGTAGGAGCTCGCCGCCTCTCACGCAGGATTCTCTGGGACCGGCACGAGGCCGTGTCACCGCCATCGTGCGCCCTTCCGGGCCTTCACAGGCACTGGACACTAACAGCGCTCGCCCCGACGGTCTGTTGAAAGGGCTACGCTGGGCACCTTTGTCATCTTGTGCGCGTGCAGGTCGGAAGGAGGGCACGCTCACCCTGACGAACGTGAGCGCCGACTCGGAGGGCGTCTACTCGTGCACGGCGCGCAACTCCGTGGGCAGCAGCAACTGCACCATCACGCTGGCGCTCAGGATCCGTGCGTGCCCGCACGCTCACCGCACCGCCAGTCATCCCAACGCTCCTCCCATCGATCATCTAACAGCTCCACCATCGATCATCTCACGACTCCACTCCACCAAACATCTGACCACACCACCAATCACATTACCGTGCGACCTCCTTTGAGCTCACTCTCCCGCTGCATCGCTGTGCTGTTCTTCCCCCGCACCACGTATGGTTGTGACAGAAGTTCAACGAAAGTGCGTACAACACGGGGCCCGTATCGATACGTCGATCGAAGTCGGTTCGCGTGCTCGCATTACACGCGCACGCGAATCGTCGCAACGCCCCGTCGATGCAAACGCCGCTCCAATGAGGTTACCGGAAGGCAGCAGGGGACAGGAGAGAATTAAACGCCAGCCGTGTGTCGCGACGGAAGGTCGCGTGTAATCCACCAGCGTCGTCATGAGGAGCGGGGAGAGAGGTCACGGCGCTTTGACGTTGGCGTGGGACTGGGGGGGTCACGGCGCTCGGACCGCGACGACGAACCTCGATTGAACAGCGGCGGCGTGACGATCCGCTCCCCTCCTCTCGTCTCTCGTGCCCACCTCTCCCCCGCAGCGCCGAGTGTGAACGTGGGTCTCGTGGCTGGGGTGCTGGTGGGCTCGCTGCTCGGAGTGGCGCTCGTGCTGCTGCTGCTGGGCTACGCGTGGGCGCGGAGACGCAAAGCGACGGGCAAAGAGGACGAGCTGCCCAACGACATCCGGTCGGTCGCGCCGTCCCCACCGCACCTGCCACCACTGCCACCGCCGTCGCTACCGCTACCACCACCACTACCACCACCATCGCCACCACTACCACCATAGCCATCACCACCGCTACTGCCATCACTGCCACAGCCACCGCTACCGCAATCACCACTGCCACCACCATCACCACCACTACCACCATCACCACCATAGCCATCGCTACCACTACCACCATCACCACCACAGCCATCGCCACCACTACCACCATCACCACCATAGCCATCGCCACCACTACCACCATCACCACCATAGCCATCGCCACCACTACCGCCATCACCACCACAGCCATCGGCACCACTACCACCATCACCACCATAGCCATCGCCACCACTACCACCATCACCACCATAGCCATCACCACCGCTACTGCCACCACCACCACAGCCATCGCCACCACTGCCACAGAAACTGCTACCGCCACCACCGCCACAGCCATCACTGCCACAGTCATCGTTACCACCACTACCGCCACTACCGCCACCACCACTACTGCCACCGCCACCAACGCTACCACCACTACCACCACTACAACCTCCACCACCACCGCCATAGCCCACACCACTGCTACCACCACCATGGAGCAATGCACTTTTAAATCTAAATTAAAAAGTATTTTTTTTCAGAACTGCTTTTTGTGTTTAGTTTGTTGTCCTCACCCCACACCTCCGATGAGCACGGTTGGCTATCTACAGTTCGAACGAAGTTCAACATCCATTCATCATCGCTCGAAGTAGCAGTAGCAGCAGTAGCAGCAGTAGCAGCATCATTGTCATCAGCAAAAGGAAGCACAATCATCATCTTCATCAGCACAATCACATACCTGTCAACCCATACGGTTTACCCCGTAATCTTGTACATGGAAATTGAGTTTCCAGGTCCATACGGCATACAGCCGTTTCAATACGGGCAACATTTTGTTTTATTTGTTTGTGTTTCTCTCGTGATGGGACTTTGTAAGATGAACGTTGAGATTCATAAAGGGCACGGGGTGACCAAACACATTCCTGTGGAGGGAGCTGGTAGGAACACGTTGGGTTGCTCGGTCAATGGCCAGGGTCAACGGCGGCGTGGTGTATTCCTCAAATATGGCCGACTGTGAGGGCGGGCACAAGCCGGCGTGAGTAGGTTAAACGTTGAGTTTTATAAGGGCACCACGGGGTGACCAGCCTCTCCCCACCCAGCCCCACCCCTCCCACCCCCACCCAGCCCCACCCTCTCCACCCAGCCCCTCCCCATCCTCCCCACCTAGCCCCTCCCCACCCTCCCCACCCAGCCCCACCCTCCCCACTCAGCCCCTCCCCACCCTCCCATCCCCACCCAGCCCCTCCCTCCCCACCCAGCCCCTCCCCGCACGATGGACGGACGGACACAATAATCTCCTGTGGGCTGGTGGTTGGTTCCTACCAGTATAAGCTCTGAATTGGTCTGTAATAAGGTAGGGCACTGATAAGGGGTTGACAAGTGTCCATCATTGTCACGTGATTATCGTTGCTTTGGTTGCGATCATCATCAGAATCATCATCGACGAGCGCCCAACGACCGATGATCACCGCCACGTGATGTGACAATAACGCTGCGGCCACCGCCATCATCATCATCGTCGCCCACCTCGTTGTTGCCCCCCCCCCCAGGATGGACGCGCCCCCCCCGCAGTACGCCGCGTCGGGCAGCAAAGCAGGCAGCACCCCGAGGCCCGGCTCGGGCCTCAGCAGCCTGAGCTCGGCGCCGGGGCCTCCGTACAAACACCCGGCCAACGGGGCGGCCGCCCACGGCCCCGCGACGCACAGGGCCGGCGGCTCCGACAGACACCACCACCCTCATCCTCACCACCCTCACCACCCTCACCACCACCCTCACCACCACCCTCACCACGCGCACCACCAGCAGAACGCGCCGCACTTGGTCGGGGCCAACGGGCACGGCCGCGCGCCGGCGTTCGCCGTGGTGGACGCCAACGCCCCCTCCGTGGTGACCGCCTCGCTCGTGAACCCGGCGCCCGGCAGCGGTCGGCAGAACGCGTACGGCCAGGTGACGGGCACGCGCGCACACGGGCACACGCACTGACACGCGCGCACTGACACACGCACACTGACACACGCACACTGGCACACACACACTGACACACGCGCACTGACACACGCGCACTGACACACGCGCACTGACACACGCACACTGGCACACACACACTGACACGCGCACACTGACACACATACTGACACACGCACATGGGCACGCGCGCACACGAGCACGCACGCACACGGGCACGCGCACTGGCATACACACACTGACACACACACACTGACACACGCACACTGGCACACGCTCTGACACAAGCACACTGACACATTTGCTGGCATACGCTGGCATGTACACGCACCACTTGCACACGCACTGGCGTATGGTGGCATGCACCGGCAAGACAAAGATCCCCCGGGTAGCCTTAACAGACCGTTGGGGCAAGTGCTGTGAGCGAGCACCTACGAAGAACGCCTTTGTCTCCCCAGTTGTGATATTTACGCATCGCGCCAGCTACTCAATTTGTGGCTGAGTCGACCTAGGGGAGGCCCAGGACCGGTTCAGATTAATCGTCACCGGCGAATCGAACTCGGGCCACCGGGTCTGTAACGTGGCGCGCTCTGACCGCAACTCTACCGCTCCCCAGACACACTGGCACACACTGGCACACTGCCGCTATGAGCGTGACAGGCAGTGTGCACCTGACGCACAGGGAGAGAAAACCCCCAGACCCCAGGGCTCGAACTGTGGGCCTCTCTGTGTTGCCAGCTCAGCGCCTCATGCAGGACCGTGTTTACTCAGCAGCCCACGTGAAGAATCCGACGCCTCGAGTCAGGGCTCCAACCCAGGCTCTCGGCAAGTGCACAGGGCGCTTGGGGTCACTGCGGCGCTCCATCACCTGCATCGTCTCTCGTCTCCACGTGTCGCCGTGGTTTTCACGTGGCCTGGTGTCGTTCCCCCCCCACCACCCCCCCAACACCCCCCCACTACCACCCCCCACTACCACCCCCCACCACCACCCCCCACCACCACCACCCCCCACCACCCCCCCCACCACCCCCCACCCCCCACCACCACCCACCCCACCCCCTCCACCACCCCCCACCACCACCCACCCCACCCCCTCCACCACCCCCCCATCCCCCCACCACCACCCCCCCACCACCATCCCCCCACCACCCCCCCCACCACCTCCACCACCCACCCCCCACCACCCCCCACGTGGTCCTCCCCGCAGAATCTGCAGCCAAGCCGCTGCGACGAGGCGGGGGTCCCGTTCGAGCCCCTGGCCAATCAGACGTCTCCGCTGTCGCCAAGCAACGGGCCCACCCCATCTCCAATCCCGATGGTACTGGGGCTCAGCCCTTGTCAATGTGCGCTGGGGGGGGAGCGGTGGCGCAGCGGTTAGCGCGCTGCGCCACGAGCCCCCGTCCACCAGAGTTCGATTCCCGCTCACGGCACACCATCGCCCGTGGCGATTATCTGAACCGGTCCCGGGCCTCCCCTAGGTCGGCTCGGCCTCAAATGAGTACCTGGTGCGGTGTGTAAACATCGCCACTTGGGAGAGACAAAGATGGCACAGGCGTGGTGCTGGCCACCCACCACCTTTATAGGCGCCCGCGAACAGCACTTGCCCCGACAGACTGATAAGGCTACATGGGGGGTCTTTGTCTTTAAGATAAAACAAAAATAAGAATAGGCTTTACCCTTTCTGCCAAAAAGGTTCCATCGATATAACTGCTCAACCCCAGCTATGAATACTTTGATAATAATTGCATTGCCTTTGGGGCCGTCCATAAATGACGTCACACACCTAGGGGAGCGGGGGGAGAGGTCAGACATTTGTGACGATGTGTGACGAGGGGGGGAGGGGGGGTTTGGGAAATGTGACGTCACGTCAAAATGCGCAACTTTAAATAATTATAAACAATAGAATTGTTATAACAACACTAATTTTGATTAATTTTCATTATTAACTATTTGAATATTTAAATTTACTAAGGTCACTTTTTTATTTATTCCAGGAATGAGCATTTTGCTTCTCCATGGGAGAATGGAGAAGCATGAATTTTGTAACAATATTTAATAATTCTTATTAAACATTTTGATTTTAATGATTCTACCAGGGCTTTTCATTCTGTGGGATTGTTATAATTGTACTCTCCATTTTGCTTCGTTCTACTACAAAGTTTCAAGTATTTTTTTCATAGTTATAATTACTTTTAATATTTTATAATTGGAAGAGAATTTCAATATATTATTCTGAACATCTGCAGTTTTAGTTAGACGTTGAATATTTTAAAGTGAATTTTATGCTCAATTTCAGTTTTCCAACGCCTCCTTTTTAATAAATGTTTTCTCCTACAACATCAGAGTGCAGCGCCACATTAAATACGCACTACAATGACAACAGTTTAGAGCGATTTTAAGCATGTTTTATTTTCAAAATGGAATGATGGTTTTGGGGGGGGGCAGAGCTTTGTGACGTCATATTTGAGGGGGGGTCTGACTTTTTGTGACGCCGTGTGACGAGGGGGGGAGAGGGAGGGTTAAAAAATCGGCCGAAATCGCGTGACGTCATTTATGGACGGCCCTTTTGTGTTGTTCGCCTTTTGGCGCTCGCTGGTCTGAGCACTCGTGAGACAAGGCCATAAAGACGGCTGTCTCTGGTCGAGGTCAATCGATTTCAAAGACAATGCGTGCATTGTTATCAGAGCGTGTTGCATGTTTTTTTGTTTTGCCACAAGTTCGTGTGGTTGATGCAGAATCGATGCCTTGCAGTAGGTTTGTTTTGACATTTCAAGAACCTCCTGTTTTGTTACCAGAAAGAGGTAAAAATCCTGGTTCCAAATATATGTCTCTCTCTCTCTCGTAAAATTTGACACCAGCAGGCACAAAAACAGCAAAAAATGGCTCCCGTCGATATTCTTCTTGGTTCTTTCGGTAAAGTCACGTAAAAGGGAAATAATACAATAATAAAAATAAAACATAATAAAATACAATTCTCACGACGTTTCGGCCACAACGCAAGCAGCCGTCCTCAGGTGAAGAACAGGTCTGTCGGAAAGACGCTGTTCTTCAAGCAGCAGACGCTGTCTTTCCGACAGACCTGTTCTTCACCTGAGGACGGCTGCTTGCGTTGTGCCGAAACGTCGTGAGAATTGTATTTTATTATGTTGTATTTTTATTATTTTATTATTTCCCTTCTACGTGACTTTACCGAAAGAACCAAGAAGATGAATCCCTGCAGTCACGAAAGCTTTCATTCCCGTCGATATTCTTTTTCTCTTTTTGTTTTCTTCAGACTTCGCCGGGTCCGATGGACTTCGGCGTTGGAGTGTCGCCGGTTCCGGCCCGCGCAGTGTCACCAGGCAACCTCGTGCGCATGGGAGGAGTCCCCATCATGGTGCCGGCACAGAGCCGGGCAGGATCCCTGGTCTAGACAGGGCCCGGCCAGCCACCGGCTACCACTGCCACCGCCCGGCTACTGACATCTCCTAGCCACCGGCTGCTGTGCATCTACCGCTGACCACCTTCGAGACCCCTCCACCCGTGACCTCGACCCCCCCATCCCCCCCCCCTCCATCCCTCCCTCCCTCCCTCCCCCGTGCCGACTCGTCCCTGCCGTCGGCCTACTCCTCCTCTTCCGCCAACCCCCATCTCCACACCCAAAAAACCGCCGCCTTCACCGAGCGCGACTCAAGGATTTCTTCTGTCCGCCCGTTGACGATGCGGCCGCCGTCGGTGAAGGGACGCGGACAAAACGCCGGCGGAGAGACGCGGTCGCTGAGACCCACCCCCCACTACCACCACCACCACCCCCGTTTATTGCCGCCACGACGATCGGCCGCTGGTGACCGCGACCCCGAATCGCCGCCCGAGGCCAAGGTGACGTGTTCACGCCGATCGAACCTGAACAGCGGCGGCAACAGGGACACCGCCGGTGCATTTTGCGCCATTCGCCGAAAGGACCATCGCGATGATGCCTCGCCAAAAGGGAAGCGCTTTTTTGGGGGGGGGGGGGGTGCATCGTCGGCACCGCGCCGGGAACGAGCGTGCCCCTCTTGCCATCGGCGCAGATGGCCCCATCGACGAGGGCCCGGCGCGCACGGCCGACGGGGCCAACCGAGCGGCGACGTCGGAGCCGGTCCCGGCAGAAGCCTCCTGTGCCCACGTGCCGCAAGGGAGCGCGGCCGTGCGGAGGGGTTGGTGGGACGCCAGGCGATGGGGGGCCCGCCGATCGTGGCCTGCTCCGGCCCGCTCCGGCCGTCTCTCTCCGTTCCCTCGGTGTTGCTCCCGGCGCCGCGCGGAAACACGAGACGCGCTGCAGAGGGGCAGCACGGACTGCGTGTGCGCCGCCGGTGTTCCCGCTTCACTCGCTGAGCCCCCCCACCCACCCAACAGCCCCCTCCTCCCGCCACCCTCTACAGCTCCCCCCCCCCAACCAGCACCATGATTCGGCTCACCAGACGGCTCTTGGTAAGCCCCATGCTTCCATCTGGGCGGCGTGGATGAGTGCCTCGTAGCCCTGATGTCGATCTAAGCCTCTCGCCCGCCCGCCCGCGGAATAGTGACGCACGCGGGGCCACGTGGCACCGTGCCCACGCGTGTCCCTTTAAAATGAGCAACTTTCGCCCGGGTGGGCGAGGTGGGTGGGTGGGCACCTAGGGTCACATGGCCCCCGTGACATTCCCAGATACGTGTTGGTTATTTGTTTCAGCAGCGTAAGAGGCTTATGGGCACGCGGTGCAGCAGATTAAATGTCGGACTGGCCGGGAAAAACAACAACAACAAGGAGGCATGACGGTGTTTTGTTTACCAGTGGTTCTCGCGTCGAGGACAACGCGGGAGGCGCTTCCTCCTGTAGCCGGCGGTGGAAATTCCACATTCCCATCGTGGGGGGGGGGGGGGGGGCACTCTGCCCCGAACATCAACCGCTGTCAAGTGCCCGCGAAGCGTTTACTCGTTTTACCGACCCCCCCACACCCCCCGAACGGGATGATGATGATGACGACAAAGGTGGTGGTGGTGGGATGAGTCAACCACCACCCCCACCCACCCCATCCAACTCACCCACCCCACCCCACCCACCCCACCCACCCCTCCCCACCCCACCCACCCCTCCCCACCCACCCCTCCCACCCCACCCAACCCAGCCACCCCACCCACAACCCACCCAACCCACCCCACCCACCCCACCCAACCTATATAACCCAACCCCACCCCAAAAAATCCACCCAACCCACCCCACCCAACCCACTCCACCCACTCCACCCACCCAACCCACCCACCCCACCCAACCCACTCCACCCACTCCACCCACCCCACCCACCCACCCAACCCACTCCACCCACTCCACCCACCCAACCCACCCCACCCACTCCACCCACTCCACCCACCCAACCCACTCCACCCACTCCATCCACCCAACCCACTCCACCCACTCCACCCACCCACCCCACCCAACCCACCCACCCCACCCAACCCACCCAACCCACCCAACCCACTCCACCCACCCACTCCACCCACCCAACCCACCCACCACCACCCCCAACTGGCGCGCCGCAGATGGCAGCATCGTCGTCTTCTCGCCTGGCTCCACGCGCTGGGACGATTACAAAACAACAACAACACAACAACAACAACACAACATCGGAACGGCGTTCCTGTTGTCACCATCAGCCTACGGGGGGAGAGGGGAGGGCGGGGGACCCCCCCCCGATCCCACCCCACCCACGCCACTCACCCCCTGCGGTCAAACAATAAACATTTCGGGCGCGGCGCAGCTTTTGAATCGAGCTGGCGAAGTTCCGCCGTCTTGATCGCGTTCATGCCGCCGTTGGGTTACCTGGGGTTTCATTTTTTCTTTTGTTTGTGTAACATGCAACGGCTCACGGGCAAACGTGGAGGAGGAGGGAGGGCGCCCTGGCGCGCCTGTGACTGCAATCTGCGCTTCCTTTGGCCCTTGCTGGTTGTGTGAGCCGCCGAGATGACGGCATGGCGGGTCATCTCCACCCTTCAGACGCCCGTTGCTCCGCTGCCAAACACCCAGGGATTACACGCCAGGCTTCTGCTAATGCCGTTCGTATTAATCCTCATGAATATGCATGCGCATACGTGTGCGTGCGCGTGTGTGTGTGGTGTGCCTGTGTGTGCATGCGTATGGTATGTGTGTGGGTAGTGAGGAGCGGTGGCGCAGTGGTTAGCGCGCTGATGCGCTTACTAACCCCGGCCGCACGAGTTGGAATTCCTGCTCGCGGCCAATAACAGCGGTGAATATTTCAACCGCTCCTGGGCTTCCCCTAGGTCGACTCAGCCTTAAGTTCGTACGTACCTGGTGCGGTAAAGCGTCAGCACTGGGGAGACAAAGGCGGCCGGGTGCGGTGTTTGGCCACAACCACCCCCTCGTGTGCGGTGCCGGCCTTCATAGGTGCTCGCTAACGGCACTTTCCCCAACAGTCCGTCGAAGGCTATACGGGGCGACCTTTGTCTTTGTGCGTGAGAGTGAGGTCACCGCGTGTATCGCACCTGGGTTCAATCCCCGACAGTGGTCAGTGGGAAGGTTTACATCAGCAGGGACCTACATCCTTACCCGTTTCTGGGCCTCCCCTAGGTCGACTTAGCCTTAAATTAAGACCCGGTGAACTGTGTTAAACTTCGCACCGGTGGAGACAAATGTGTGTGCGTTGTGCTGGCCACATCACCTCGTCGTGTGCCTGTGCTGGCCTTAATAGGTGCTCGCAAACAGCACTTGCCCCAACAGTCTATATAAGGCAACACATACCTTGTAATGGATATGCAATGTATGTCAGGGCACAGTGTATCATCGCCATCATCATCATAGTCGTCACCATCTCGCCATCAACATATCTTTCCTTCGTTAAATCATCATTCGTAGGTTGGTAAAATGTGTACAAGATAGTTCATATTGCTCTGATTGGGTGGGGGAAGTCACCACTGGTTTTCAACGTGGGTAGTCTCATCAGCAGGCCGTAGCCAGAGAGTACGGGATCTGCCTTCGATGTTGGTGGGTTTCATCAGCAGCGCGTTGCATCGTGAAGCAGCAATGGCATCAGCTAAAGTGCGGCGTCAATGTGCGTCGTTCATTATTGTCCAAGTTCCATCCCTGGTTTTGGGTCAAAGCCTTAGGCCAGTTTCGACCGCTGTGATTGTCATCGGCAGGGTGTGGGTGGGTGTGTGTGTGTTGTCCCATTATTGGGGAGCGGTGGTGTAGCGGTTAGCGCGCTGCGCTATGAACCTGGCGACCCGGGTTCGATTCCCGCTCACGGCTAATACCAGTGACGATTATCTGAACCGGTCCTGGGCCTCCCCTAGGTCGACTCAGCCTTAAATGAGTACCTGGTGTAGTGTGTAAACATCGCCACTAGGGAGACAAAGGCGGTCGGGCGTGGTGCTGGCCACCCACCCCCTCGTGTACCGTTCCGGCCTTCATAAGTGCTCGCTAACAGCACTTGCCCCTACAGTCTGTTAAGGCTATATGGGGGATCTTTGTTGTCCCATTAACCGATGCTACCGGATGACGTGTTGTCCCAAAGTCCAGCGTCACCTCGGTTGAGTGTTATCAGTAGCGAGTGGCCTCTCGATTCCACGTCACCCACTGCCCTCCTGTGTACGGGTCAGATCCTGAAGGCTGGGTTCGCTAGTTCTACCCCTCGTCAGCAGGGTGTGGCCCCTATTCATGCCACAGCGTTCTGAGCAGCAGCACTGGTGTTGATGCAACCGCGATGATGACCGATGGCGAATGTTGAACTTATTCCGCAACGTATGGGGCCAAACGTGCTAATCGGATGATGACGACGACGACGAAGACCCCCTAAGCTGAGCGATGTGAGGCTTCACGGTGGCTAGAAGATGTTAATTCCCCCGCCTGGTGTGCAGGAGGTCGTGGGTTCGATCCCGACCCTGACGCCTGCTGCTGTATATTTGGAGTCTGCGGTGTCTCTCTCTCATCATCATCACGGTGGCTGGGAGATGTTAATTCCCCCGCCTGGTGTACAGGAGGTCGTGGGTTCGATCCCGACCCTGACGCCTGCTGCTGTATATTTGGAGTTTGCGGTGTCTCTCTTCCCGTGGCCGCGTGGTTTTTTTTTCTCTCTCTCTCCAGCTCCTCAAATTGTTCCCTCCACATTTACAAACGACATCACGCCTTTTTTTGTCCGAGTATTATGGGCCGCTGTAAATTTCCGCACAATGGTCAAGCCACGTTTGTCGAACCATCGCTTGTGGCGGCCAAGGTCGCGTTTGAACAAAGAGCTGCGTAACTCAGCGTTGACTTTAATTGGCGGAATACAAAAATAAAATGTAATCAGCTCCGTGCAGGGCCCCGCGACAGATTCATCCATAGCTGTGCCGTGAGAGGCGGGCGGTGGTGGCGGCTTGCAAACGCGCCTTCGTGTAGCAGCGGATAGACCATGGCTGACGGTGACGAGCGCTGGCGAGTGTTGCCTTCCGTCGCCAATGAACGAGAGGTGGCGGCGGTGGCTGCAGCGGGAAACACTCAGTGCCGGATGAAGCTAGCGCGGAGCCTGTAGCATGATGTTATAAGGGGCCCGAAATAAAAAAAAAAACGTAAATATTAACAAAAATGTGTTTTTTACTTGCATAGTAATAAATTTTCATTTGCTATACAGCTAGATAATACGACAAATCGCTAACCTTCAACACCCCGTCGTTCATAAAAGTTGAAGGCGGTATAGTACTATAGTAATAGAGCAAGTGCAGAATCATCGAACCTGAATTGATAGCTTGAAAGCATTTAGCGCTGGGCCCTTGAACGTGCGGGGCCCGTAGCTACATGTGTAGTAGCTACATATGTAGTAGCTACATATGTAGTCGCTACATATGTAGTAGCTACATATGTAGTAGCTACATATGTAGTAGCTACTACATATAGTAGCGACTACATATGTAGCTACATATATAGTAGCTACTACACATGTAGCTACGTTTGCTACTAGGAGAATCCGACACTGGAAACAGCCCCCTGTCATCATCCAGCAGTGGTTACGGATCGTGTTTTGTCGATCGTGAATTGAATGAAAAGAGTCAATGTTGTGGAAGTTAGTGGGGGGGTTGGTGGGGGGGTTGGTGGGGGGGGGGTGGTGGGGGGGGAGGTTGGTGGTGGGGGAGGGGTGACCCCCCACTTTTCTGGGAGCAACACAAAGACAGGAAGGCGTTGCTGCATCTCGTGCAGGAAGTCTCCAAGCAGACGGCTCACAATTCCCATTGTCCATCCCGGGGCATGTTGTTGTTGTCGTCGTCGTGAAATGGTTTGTTTAGACCGCGCGTGTCCCGTGCGCGTGTGTGTCAATCCGAACCGGTCGTGGGCCACGCCTAGGTCGACTCAGCCTCAAACGGATCGCCACTCGGGAGACAAAAATGCGGCCGGGCGTGGTGGCCGGCCACCCCACCCCCTCGCGTGCCGTGCCGGCCTTCATGAAGGTGCTCGCTCGGAGCGCTTGCACCCAACATCCTGTGCAGGCTAAACGGAGGGGGGGGGGGGGGGTCTTTTTGTTGCGTGTGGCATTGTGGGGAGGGGGGGTTAGCGCAGCGCTACGCTCCGAACACTACATCCGCGAGTTCGATTTTCCGCTCATTGTTATCTGAACCGGTCCTGGGTCTCCCCTAGGTCGACTCAGCCTCACATGAGTACCTGCGTAAACTATGGAGGCAAAGGTGGCCGGGCGTGGTGTTGGCCACCCACCCCCTCGTGCATTGCTGTGCCAGCCTTCACAGGTGCTCGCTAACAGCACTTGACGCCAACAGACTGTTAAGGCGACACGGGGGGTGTTTGTGTTTGTGTATGCATGTGAATGTGTGTGCATGTATGGGAGCGGTGGCGCAGTGGTTAGCGCGCTACGTTCGGAACCCGGGCGACTCTGTGTTCAATTCTCAGCCACGGCGTCTTAACTCGAGTGGCGAGTGATATCCGACGCTGACCAAAGTGGTGAAGTATGGTCAAACACCCCCCTCACCCCCCCCCCCCCACGACTGATACGCCATGGGGAAGCCTTCGTCCAGCAGTGGATTGACGAAGGGATGTAAGTTAAATTATTATTTT